CAATTATCACTATAGTTAATCAAACTAAAGAGGAAGACATGGAGAGAGCATGTAGCATGTATGGGAGAGACATAAATACATACAATATTGTGACGTGTTGCACTATGCAGGACACCCCTCCCCCCGCCAGCAGTGACGTAACACCATCGGAGCGCTGTCGTTACTAGGGTAGCAGGCAAGTCAACACTACTTCCCCTATCCCGCCAGCGGTGATGTCACCAAGGGATGCCGCGGTTGCTATGCAGCCATAAACAACTCCCGACAGCGTTGCTAGAAACACGGCACCAGACAACAGTGGTGCATATTACGTGGCTGTTTTCTGTGTTGTCTGGAACGAGGCTGAATAAGGAGCAGCGAAGACTTCGACTTCGAAATCTTCGACCCACAGAAAGTGTGGACCGGGGAAAGAAGTGACCACCGCTGGAATAAAGATTACACACTGTGCAGGACACAGGCGTATGGCATGAAACAAAGACAATGTTCAACAAGAAACCTGGAAAGGAAGAACAGGAATAAAGGACATAGGCTGCAGACAGCCGCTATGTCAGAAGAAAAAGGTGCCAACCAAGGACATCATCGGAGAGTGTAGGTCAGGACAGCAATCGCACCTAGGAGGGAGAATTTGTAAGAAGACCATCTACGAGATTGTCAGCATGAAGATCGCGAAGTGAATGGACGGATCTTCTGTCGGCCTATGACAAGGCAAGGATTGGATCCTGTGGAGGGGTCGACCCACTCCAAAACAGAAAAAGGCCCATATAGGAGGAACCAGTAGTAGAAACACCAGCCTTCCTAGCAATAATGAATGAAGACTGAATGAGCGACGAATGAATGAGACACAACTGGACCTTCTGGCGAGTTGAAAAGGAACCGCTCAAGACGAGCTGGTCTTAAGAGGAGAGCGGTTGTAACGGCCAGATAATAGTCGCTGCAAGGAGTAGCCGAAACAACAGGAGACGCAGAAAGCCATCCTTTGAAGAAAAGGAACGGGGATGCACCGTTAGGCTACTCGGGATGAACAGCCTTAAGGAGGGAGCAGTGTGACGTGTTGCGCTATGCAGGACCCC